GCCACGCTCCGTCGAGACTAGTTAAATCCCAAGTGTCGATTACTTTCTGCTCTCCCGCAGTAGTCGGCACGACAGTAGCTAGTGTACTACAGAAAGCTAAAGAAAAGAACCAGCAAACAGTTGGTCTTCCAATTGACAAATAGTCCCCTGGTTTAGTTCAATACTCTTCAGGTTATACCAACAGAACAACAAATAGCTGCTTTCATTAAACCCATCAAAGTGCCATACTAATGTATAAGTAATCTTTACCATCAGCCATAGTATTTTGATAAAAGTAGCTGGGGGTGCATATTCCCTCAATAAACTGTAAACGTGGTGAATGACGGCGGACGTTCTTTTCGCCGCCATTTCGTGAGGGCTCCGTGTATTTAGCATTATGTGTTAATTTCGCGTACAATTATTATTATACGATATTTCCGTGTTAACTACTGGTAAGAAAGTAATAATTTAGTCATTTAATAATATTTTAAAACAACACAACCATTTTCAATGTTTTGGCAAAAGTTTTATTGTAATTTCAGCAGTAAAAGTTCTCTCATCGGCACGAGTTTTTTTTTTTCATGGCTTGTATTTGTTATTATATAATTCATTGCGCCGTTTATTAGAAGTCATACAAAATGGCTTGAAATGTCCGTGTAATTCGGCAAACTGGACTATTTACATTACAAACAGTGGTCCCGACTTTTTATCAGTTATCGAGTTCAACTCGTACATCGTTTATTTCTGAGATTTATAATTGTTTTGAAAATTTAATATTAAATTCGCGTGATTTTAATTAAACCGGAGTCCAGCCCGCTTTGGCTGACTTTGTGAAATTGTCACTTTCCGGATTAGTAAGTGAAGATACGATTTTCATTTAGATTACCATATGTAGTAGGGATATGCATATAATCAGAAAGGGTTTTTGCCGTCAAAAGTATGTCGTAAATTGACAATAGCAATAGAACATTTTGTCCGGATTTCCATAAGGTATCATACCCATAATGTCTGAAGTTCAGAGTGTGAGCAATTTGCTGGGAACTGAAACTACAACTAATGACGAAGAAATAACTGGTCAAACCAAAGATGACTTGACTTCACCTACATCCTCTTCAACTGGTATTGAATTGGTAAAGGAACAAAAGGAATGCTCTTCAATTCGGGACGAAACTTCAGCAGAGGGAACTGAAATAACAACACCGAAGGAGCACGCCCAGTTTCCCTATTTCAAAGTTGGAGTCGTTGAGGATTGCAACAAGCGTTACCGAAGAACCATGGAGGTTAGTCGGCCAGCTATGAATTGAAGGATTTTTCTCTCCCGTTAGTGCTGATTGCGTTACCCCGTTCTGAACTTGCATTAGGATGCTCATTGTTACTTTTATGACTTTGCGGGTGTCGAGGGACAAGGCTTTTTTGCTATCTTTGACGGTCATGCTGGCAAGCAAGCTGCTGAATGGTGTGGAAATCATTTTCATGAGGTAAGGATCTTCTAAGCAGATTTCTACTATTCTCCACTGTTTGCATTGAGAAGGATAACAAACCGTTTTCACATCGGTGAAACTCGTTCCAAACAGTTTCTTGTCTTGTTATAGTAAATCGTCATTACGGAGACTCGCGTGACTGTTTCTAACTTTTTTATTATTATTTAGACATTTCAAGAAGTTCTCGAGAAGAATGCAACCTTACCTATTCCGGAAGTGTTTAATCTCACTTTTGCAGAAGCAGATCAGCGACTGAATGAAAGCGCTGCTAAGCATTCGGGATGTACGGCCATTGCTGCGCTTGTTCGCACAGATATATGCGATGAAGGCGATGAAAATGGCGGAACCGAAACTGTGGCGCGTAATGGCACAGATTCAGCAAAAAAGGCATACAAAGTAAGAGTTAACAAATATTAAATTATAGCAACATCGACAACTTGGTCTAGATTTTATTTTTAGTGGTCATTGCCAATACCATAATTATACTCTATCCATTCCCGTTGATAGTACTGATTACTTCTCTTTTACACTTAGCGCGCTTTATACACTGCTAATGTTGGTGATGCGCGAGCAGTATTATGGTAAGGAGTCTCATTTGTTGGGTATCTATTTTGATGGAATGTTGCTAACGAATGTTATTCGTCATTTATCCCAGCCGTGACGGGATTGCAAAAAGGCTTTCCTATGATCATAAGGGGAGCGATGTTCAAGAGGCGAAGCGTATTGTCGATGCTGGTGGCTTTGTACTGAATAATCGTGTTAATGGTATGCACCATGATAATTATTGAAAAATAATCAACATTGTTAATTTACCTTTGTTGTTCATATTTATAGGCGTACTGGCAGTAACTCGATCGTTAGGTGACTGCTCAATGAAAGGTTGCGTTGTGGGCGCTCCATACACCACAGAAACTGCTTTGACAGAGAAAGACTCGTTCTTGATATTAGCCTGTGACGGGGTAAGTATAGATGATCAACGGATTTCGCCTGACCTCTCAACATACTTATTATTGGTTGCTTTCACCTAGCTCTGGGATGTCTGTAGTGATCAAGACGCAGTCGACCTTGTCAAGGACGTTATGGATCCACAAGCAGCAAGTGAGAAACTGCTCGAATATGCACTACAGAATTTTAGCATGGACAACTTGAGTGTAATGGTCGTTAGATTTACGAACACATAAGGCTTCTAATAATAGATAATAATCTACTTCTGCTGGATTCAGAGTTAGAGAGCTGTGTTACGTCGGATGCGTGCTGCAGTGCATGTGAACGATCTGATCTAGAGAATATAATGGCATGAGTAAGAGTTTGCGAAGGGAGAGGATTCCAGAGTATAAACAATTTAATAGTGAACACTTCCTGTGGACTTTGAACAGAATAAGGGACTGCTTGTCATCTTTGTCGTTATAGTAAAATAATTTATACTTGCAGCGATGTCGATATTAAAGAGACTAGATCTCAATTTAGATTCTGTACAATTACTTAATGTCTTTTATGGCTCTTTTTGCAAACCTTATGCAAGCTTTATCAATATGATTTCGGGCGCAGAAAAGACGCATCAATGTTATATCAATAGTTATTGTTCAAAACTGAGATATTCCTAAAGCACCTTCTCCTCCGTCAATTCGCATTTTTGTTTCCGAAATTTGGTAAAAATAAATAAAGCTAAGTTTAGTCGATATATTCGTGTGTGGTGAATAACAATGGTTGGTAAGCAAACAGTCGTATTAGAATAAGGCATGAGATTGAACATGCTTATAATTAGGGCCAGCCTCTTTCTTGTCATAACAACGTTTTTCTATAAGGTAGACAAGTGAAAATTTTATTAACACACCAAAAAAAATAAAATAAAATAAATAAAGTAAATAAAATAAAAAAAATAAATAAATAAATAATTTTTTGAGCATGTTTGGAGACAACAGGAATCATACCGCTAAAATTAAGGTATTCAGACATCGTAAATGCCGATTTTATTATGTCAAGCTGTCCGATAAGCTTCTCCAGAGTCATTGGCATATTTTCCTAGCAAAGACAAAGTGAACATGAGAGGCTGATGCTGAAAGTTGACTAATTTGACTAATAGCATTTTGATTATCACAGCAATAACTTTACACAAATTTATGTAGCAAACTTCTATTACTATCTAAAAATTATACATGATTAATATAGAATTATGTCTATATAAAAATATAATATGAAACTAATCTACCATGGAACCCAAAAATTACAGCACAATTAGAAGCATTTTAAAGAAACTCAAGGGAAAAAAATTGCACTTACGTTTTTAAAATCAAACTCTCCAGGGATGTCTAGATAAAGAAAAAAATCACTTATGAAATTTATCAAGAAGAACGAAAAATAATAAACAATAAACGAAGATTAAACTCAATTTAGAAAGAACCAAGAAAGAAACGAAAAATTGAAGAAAAATAAAGCAAATAACTTTTTTTTCTTGATAAGTAAAACTAAAAGTCCTTCATAATTTGTCTCTCACAATATTTTCAGGAGTGGATTCATTGCTAAAAACAGTTCTTCCAATTTCAAGTCCATTCTTTTCTGGATAACTTACTCAACCATTTTTAGGCCAAGTGAATCTTTCTAAGGCTCTTAAAGCAGTACCAGTTTTTGTCTTCATCGAGAACACAATTTATTGTTTGCGCATCTTGAATACCAAATAAATATACTTTACGCGGACTGAGGTAATAAATTTTACCTACGTGTTGATCGGAATGGGGTACGTGAACATTTTGTGCTCAATCGTAACTGCAATGAGCAATAGTATCAACACGACAATAATCAGCTTTACCTCTTGTTACAAAATGCTCATCTACCAATTTTCTCTGTTGTTCTGCTAGCTTTGTAATAATTTCTCTCTAACTTAGCTTTAGCTAGATGTTCTTTGAATCTTTTAGTAAGTCTCTTGCTTTTTCTTCTTCCTTACGAGCATTATACTGTAAGCCGTTCCGAAAATGTCATATAAATCCGTTAATTTGTGCCATAACTTGCGAAATGCGTCGAGGCCTGCAATAAAATCACGATAGACCGATTTATAACCCGTTTCGCAATAGTGTAAAGCGATTGAGTAATGCGGTTAACATTTCTACCAGGACTTGGTAGTCCATGAATTTCAGCAACAGTTACATCAATGGTTATTTTGGTTTTCCATCGCGGCACTCGTTTGATGTTACCATGAATGCGCGGTATTATACCATTCGTTGCTAGATGATTTCGAAGTTAATTTTCTTGGGCGGCCAGATTTATGAATCTCGCAAAGTTTGCACGTATCGTTGACATGTATGTAGTGGGATAACAGTTTTGCTTGAAATTTCTTTTGGAGTACGGATATTTTGCTGCCAAAGTAAGTTGACAATGGAACGGTTTGTTTTCACAGGGTTTGGAGACATTTTGCAAAGCAAAATAAACAAAAGATGATAATAATGTTTACTGTTTATTTGTTTATCTTTTATTTTTGTAACCTCAATTACCCGATTAACTAGTCTATATTGGGCGATTGACAGCGCTACGCGTATTTGAATACCGTATTCTTCCGAAAATAAGCAACACTTTTTTGTTATAGTGTTGCTTATTTTCGGGTAGTATAATAAATTCGAT